ATGAGTTTTGATCGCCTCGCCAGCCAAAGTTATTTTGCATGCCATGCTCCACTCATTTACAAGACATGGGACATTTCAAACCCCCTCCACATGGTGTACAGACCAAATTGGCTGATCACACCTCGGGAGTCACTACTACCGCGACAGTCCTTAGCGAGTAATTGCCTTGTGGATGCCAGTTGGCGACGGTGGGGGAGTGTGGGGGCTCAACTGGACTCACGGATGGGCGCTTTTAAGCTTGCGCTTTTAACAAAACAGCTATCCCGTAAGTCGAAACCCAGCGCAGTGCTGAAAAGTATCAGCTGCTCCTACGAGAACCTATCAAACTGTTCAGTCCCGAGCCTACCCAGTGGCGGTGAGATGAGCTGGAACTGCTGGAAGCTGTGGCACTTAGGGGTTGCACGGGGTGGTCAGGTCCCGTCAGGTGTTTACCAGCCCCACTGGAATCCCTCCGCATGGTAAATGCCAGCCAGCATGAATCGAAGCGCGTTCTCCTGAAATCACACCACCACCCACCACTGCCACTGGGAAATGCATTTGCTTGGTTTGCTTGCACATTCATTCGAGGGTGAAAGGCTTCAATTCTTGCGCGCATGCAGGGATAGATTTGGTGGAATGACAATTTCGGAAAGCCGTAGTAATTACTTACAGTACTAACCCGTCACGGCTCAAGGTCAGCTATTTATTGATTCATTCCTGCTACTCGAGCCGAGCGCCCTTCGCTCGAGTTAGAAACGAGCGGGCATCGTCCGGGCTACTCCCGCAGCCATTGCACTTCCCTAGCGACTTCTGAAGCGCAAATAGCTATACTTCACAAATCCTCCCACGATCTCGATTCACGGGCCATACGCCATGAACCTGCAAAGAAGATCTTCTCTCACATCAAGAGCTTTACCTTCCTTATCGCTCCTCCTCCTCGCAATTAGCCTAATCCACCTGAGCTCACAGCACGGCCATGCCACGTCAGTACTTCCACGTCAGATCCTGGCCACCGACAGTCAGCCGCACCCAGAGTCTTTTCTTCACGCCGCGGTTCGCACTCTTGTGCGACGACCGCGGAGAGACTCTCTCCGACATCCGGGGGAAGCGGGCGGCGCAGACCCCTCGTCCCCCCTCGCGGAGAGGCGCGAAGGGGCGGAGGCGGTGACGCAGTTGCAAGCTCCCCTGGAAGGCGCCTCCCTCGAGTCGTTGCTCGTTCACCCAATCCCCGAGCCGGATTCGCGTCATGCCCGAACCGGATCCGCAGGCTCGGCAATGTCCGTCTGCCCGACCTTCGAGCCAGGTTCGGGTGCTCTGAGCGAAGTCTCCGCGTGCAAGTGGTCCGCACCTGTGGAACCTAGAACGGGTTCGCTTCCCGTCGCCAATGATATCGCGAGTTTCGCCTCACGGTTTCGCGAAGCCGAAAGGTTACAGTCGCGAACGCAATGTCACCAGCGGCCGTGGCTCTGGCCCTGGCCGCTGTTACACGTGGGTGACGTCTGCGAAGGGGAGGGGGAAGAGGGGGGCTCCGAGGAGCAAATCGACGAAAAGGTCCCGCCGAGTGTAACAGACGAAGCGGGTAACAGCGCGATTCTTCTATTTCGCGACGTTTTCGTCAACGGACGGGGCGCCGTGTTCAACGCGAGCCACGTGTTCGTGTTCAGCGCATGCGGCGGCGGGGCTGGCGGGGAGTGGAAAATGCGGACAGAGAAGCAAGCTATAGCGGAGATGTCTTACCCCGCAGGCACCGTTACTAGCGTCCACGAGCATCTAATTAACCTACTCCCTTACGAGGAAGACGACGGGTGGGCGGAATTGGCGGCGGAAGCGGGGGCGGAGACGCAAGCGGAAGGAAGTAAGTGGGCGGAGAAAGCGCGCGCGCTGGGCGGAAGCGCGAAGGAGCGGCAGCTGGCGCGGCTGCTGCCGGTGCTGTTCCTGCTGTCGTCGTCGCTCATGCCCACTGCGCGCCGATACCCGCTGCTGCTGCGCGATCGACGGGTGAGTTTTAAAGCGAGCTCATGGGGGTTGTTAGTCATTCACGCGTGGCCTTCTTACTGCAGCCACAATGTAACAATGTAACGCGTTACGAGGCGACCTGATTCTAAAAACCCAGCCTTATTTATTGCTACTCCCCCTCCCCCCTACCCCCTCTTCCCACCACCTCTTCCCCCGACTTTCCCCCAGTTGCTGCATCACGTGCGCACTGGCCTGTTCGGAGTGGATCTCGCCGCGCTCTCCATCCCCCTAGATGCCACGTCAGTATATTCCACGTCAGCACGAGGCGCGGCGGCATCCGCGCGCCCGCACCTGTTCTTCGCCAAGAAGCTCTACCTCCCGCTACATCCGGATTCCCTCTGCGGGTTCGCCGCTTCTCCCCGCCCCCGCTCCCCCGACCCACTCTGGCGCACCCTCCGCGCGCACCACCTCCTCCCGCCCAACGGCCTGCCGATCCTCAACCCGAACTGGGTTCCTCGGCTGGCGAACCAGCACCCGAACCAGCAGGCTCGGGCGCACATGGTGGTTGGGGAGAGCTTGCGCGCGGATTGGGTGGTGGTGGTGTCGCTTGTGTGGAGCGCGCACGGGGGGAGGGAGGTGCGGGGGGTGGCGGGGGGGGAGGGTCTCGGGCTGGGGGAATGGGAATTCGCGGGGGGAGCAGCTGGAGGGGAGGGGGCGGAGGGAGCGGAAGGTGACAATAAGGAGGCGGCGGATGCCATGAACCGTGTGATTGTAATGATGCGGGAGCTATTCGGGGAGGCGCGCGTGGTGGTGTACGACGAGCACGTGCCGCTGCTGCAAGCTAAGGAGCTCTTTTCCCGGGCGATTCTGTTCGTCGGTCCTACGTCTCCCGCCCTTTCGAATCTAATCTTCATGCCGTTTAATTCGACTCTGATCGAGATCCTCCCTCGTACCGTCGCCATGGCTGCAGCGTCCATCCCTGTCGTCGGCCAACAGCGCGCTGCCACATGGCACTTCCACCTCGCTTCCCGCCTCGGCGTTCATCATTTTCTCTCGGCCTGCGATCCGACTAAGGTGAACTGGCACTCCCAAGAGCACTGCCACGTGGACGAGGTGTACGGTACGGTAACCGCAATGATCCGTAACAACCCTACACTACAGGCGTACACCGGGTTACCAGCCATCTCCTTCCCACCGGACGAGCCGGCCAGCCTCGGCGACTTCCGAAGCAGGATCCCAGGCTCGAGGCTCAGGCCCGGGACAGGCGAGGCGGCGGCATTCAAGCAGTGGATGACTTGTGTGGCGGAGCTAGGGGAGTGGCGGTACAACGCAACGCCTAGGGTTTTACCGTGGGAGGAGAAACAACTGCAGAGCTGCGACGCCAGGCACATGAAGCAGGGCGGCGTCGCGGGAGCCTACGCGGACAGAATCGCGGTTTCGGGATGGGACCCCGCCGCTGCTGCTGCCGCGTGGAAGGTCCGAGAGAGCCTAAAATACCAGTGGGTGGTTCCTAGGGAGAAGTGCGCGGGAGTTAGCGGGGGGAGACAGGCGGTGGTGGGGGCAGAGGGGGTTCAGGGGGAGATATTCTCGAGGTTCGACGGGCGCGCGCTTTGCGAGCTGGCTGCGCGGCGGAAGGACGGGCTGCGGATTGCTTTTATCGGGGATTCGCTGACGCGGGAGCATCACTATTCGTTTATGAATAACATTATAAAGCATATTCCAAAGCCGGCGGTGGGGAGGATCGTGAAGCAGAAATGCCTTGAGTGGATCGATGACACGGTTACTGTTACATGTGCTGGTTACCGCATTGAAGGGTGTCCAGGATTGGAGATTCACTATGTGGCAACGACAAGGCTCATGCGGGTGCAAGAGGAGAAGCTAGAGCGGGCGGCATGGCTCCATGTGCCGTGGCAGCAAGTCCCCGGAATCAGAAACTCCCACATGCTTATAATGAACCGTGGCGCTCACTATAAGCCAGCCGTGAAGGTGGTCAAGGCGGTCAAGCGAGTCTTCAGATTCCTTCGCCATAATCACCCCGACAAGCTCCTAGTCTACCGCACTACACCCCCTGGGCACCTCAACTGCCTAAACCACACCCGGCCTATTGAGCAGCGGCAAGACGGAGCGGCATTGCCGTTCAGGTGGGGTGAATTCAGAGAGCAAAATGAGATGGTGAGGAAGATAGTGGAGGACGCGGGTGGGCTGTTCATGGATGTGGATCCCATGATGGCGTTAAGACCGGACGGGCACAGGGGCGTGGTGGCTACGGATAAGGTTGACTGCCTGCACTACTGCCTTCCAGGACCGGAGGACACCTGGTCTGAGTTCCTGTACAACATAATACAGAGGCTTGTGCCTGCTAGGTAACTTCTGCTGGACTGCGAGTAGGGCAACCAGGGTACCGTATGTCAGATTGCTGGATGGGGAGGTTGGAGGAGGAGAATGAAGGGTAGGAAGCTTGGGAGGATTGGGGTGGAGGGAGGGGAGGGGAGGTTTAGCTCCACGTGGCCACCAGGGGATGAATCAGCTGATGTGAGGCCCGAGAGAAATTCAGTCCAGTCCCAAAATGGAGGGGCTGCGAAATAAGATGGGGTGTGGTATCCGAGCATTATGCATCAAGGTGGATGTATGGCTGGGTTACAGAATAAGCTGGGAGATATGTTATCCCAGCGTCTTGCATGAACATGGATGCCACCGGTGAATGACACCTCTATTAGCACTGTATAACATCCTTTTGAATGAGTTGGCATTCATCACGAGGAGGTTATGGTAGAAGTGTTGAATGATCCAAGAACCTCATGGATGTTACATAGTTGGGCTAGATATAGGGATGGGGGAATGGATTGGTTTGCTCAATGCATTTTGCAATGCATTGATACGGTTCCCTCCCATGAAGAAAGCTTTGTGCATTCTATCATAAGTAGCCATATTTCCTCTTCTGTCCATTCTACACGGAAACGAATTGCACCCTGCAGAACCGCATGCACGGGTAGCGTCACCTGCACGCTTTGCTCCGTTGCCGTAAGCTCCTCCGCCTGAGATTCCTCCGCTCGTTCAGGTTGCGCACAATGACGAGATTGAGGAGCTTTGATTAGCCTAGGGTCGCACCAGCTTTGCCCAGCTGTGCGCGGGCGGTAAAATGCAGCGGCTTCGCGATTTTCTTGATTGACGGAGGGAGGGACTCGGGCTTCTTGGCAGCATGACACGTGGCTGTGAACGATTTATCGCGTCGCTTGGCCGTCGGCTGGCTCGTCGCGCGCCGTACCAAGGGTGCCGTGACCTGAACCCAGCAGCTGGCTCGCCGCTTAACCCCGCCTCTGTGACGGCGCTCTCTAGTTATTCTTCCACGTGGTATCGTCAAATCTGTCAACCGCGCGGCATCCTACCTCCAGGTCGCCTCGAACGTGCTTCGAAATTACAGAATCTAGGGCTAGTAGCGTCTCTTAGCAATATTAGCGACTATTCGAATGACTGTCGTCGGCCACCGCAGCACTCCTGGCCGCGTCAGTCACTAGCAGCTTCGCCTGTTGCCACGTGTCAATGCCCTTCCCACCGAGCGAAAGTTCCTCACACCTTCCTTCCGCCGCCTCCTGTTCCCGCATCGGCGGGGCTCGCGTTCGTCCCGCGCTTCACCGCCCTCCGCGGAGAATGGCCCGCCGCCCTTCCGCCACCCGCCACTCCGCTTTCCGCGCATGCAGCAGGGCGGAAGGGGAAGGACGGGGGGAGAAGCAGAAGGCGGCGTCGGGGGGAGGACGATGCAGCAGCAGCCGCAATAGCTGGAGAGAGCGACGAGTCGTTGATTGCAGATGAAGAGGCTTATAAGGAGGATGGAGAGTCGGGCGAAAACACTGCGGAGAGTGAAGCAGATGCGGCTGTAAAAGCAGATTCAGGCCACGGCACACGGTAGGTGCTAGGCAGCAAGAAAGGGTGTACATGTGGCAAATCACTAACTTGTGGGACGAAAACGTTGCGGAGAATGAAGCAGATGCGGCTGTAAAAGCAGATTCAGGCCATGGCACGCGGCAGGCGGGAAGAGGTAGAGTTACACGTGCTTATGATTATCAGCACTTTTTTGTTTTGCTGAAGAATCCCCTCCTCGCCCTCCCCCCCTCCTCTCCTCCCGTTCTCTCCCCCTTCCCCTTCCCCCCCCTCGCCTTCTCCTCCCCCCTCCCCCCCCACCCCACACAATGACCAAGGTTTGCTTCAGTGAGCCAAGATCTGGGTGCATGTTGACGGCGTTGGCGCTGGCGTTTATGCTCTCGCCGTCAATCACCCTGCACGAAGGATAGCCGCTTTCGTAGGTGATTTTTGAGTCGACTCAAAAATCACCGGCGCTGGCTTTTATGCTCTCGCCTTTAATCACACTTTACCAAGGATAGTCGTTTCCATAGCACTCAGACGACCCCCACCCCTCCCTCCCTTACTTCCCCCCCATCCTTCCCTCCCTTACTTCCTCCCACACCTCCCTCCCTTACTTCCACCCATCCTTCCCCTTGAGCAAAAAAAAAAAAAAAAAACATAAAGAAAAAAACATGCTGGTGGTGCAGTTGTGTACGTATCCCCGCTGGCTGCTGCGCGCCAAGCTGAGCGAGGCTCTGCCCTCCCATTCTCTACTTATCCACTCGTTCTTTTCCGACTATCCCCTCTACTTTCGTCCCTCTTCTCGTTCCCCACTCCCCTTACCACAGCATGCTGGTGGTGCAGCCAAGAACACATCCCCGCTGGCTGCTGCGCGCCAAGCTGAGCGAGGCCCTGCGATTGGTGGACTCGCTGACGGGCACGGACAGCCAATGGGAGATGGAGCAGCGGACGTGGGGGGGAGGGGATGAGGAGCAGCACGTGTGGCGGGGCGGGGAGGAGCGAGAGCGGCCGGGGCAGGAAGGGCAGCAGCAGCAGCAGCAGGAGCAGGAGCAGCAGCTGCAGGCGGAGGAGGAGGGAGAAGAGCGAGAGTGGCAGGAGGGGCGAGAGCAGGCACGGCAATGGGACGAAGCTGAGGGGAGAGGGAGGAGAGCGCGGAGCGGGGATGGGGTTGAGGGGTTTGGGTTCCCGCCGCCGGGAGGGGGCCATCCGTGGGTGGTGGTGCACAGCAGGGGGCGGGGGGTACGAGCAGGTGTGTGCGGGCCGAGCCGAGGTATGCGTGCATGCATTCCAGTATATGCGTGGGATGGTATGGTGCACAGCAGGGCGCGGGGGGTACGAGCAGGCGTGTTTGGGTACATGCTGGTGTGCATTGTGGTGTGTCAATGGTTCTACGTGCTTGTATGGTGGGGGCACCCGTGGGTGGTGGTGCGGTGCACAGCACGGGACGGGGATACCAGCAGGCATGGGTGCTTGCTTGGATGCCTGCATGGATGCAGGGATACCAGGGGGCGAGGCTTAAGTGCCCACGCTTTGCTGTCTTCACCCATTGCCCTGCGCAAGGAAGCAAGTGCCATCTGTTCTTTCCAACGACTTGCCTTCTCTAAAGGTTAAGACGGAAGGTTAGCATGTTTTGACCATTCTCAGCTGAGAATGCGCCTCCTCCCATCCCTTCCTCTTCACTCCCCTCCCCTTGCTCCTGCAGGATCCTTCTTCGGTAGTGGAACCATCGAGAGCATAGCTGCACATGTGCACGCATCTCATACCATGGTACGATCACTGTTTGCTTGCTTCATGCCATGGTACGATCACTGTTTGCTTGCTTCATGCCATGGTACGATCACTGTTTGCTTGCTTCATGCCATGGTACGATCACTGTTTGCATGCTTCATGCCATGGTACGATCACTGCTTGCATGCTTCATGCCATGGTACGATCACTGTTTGCATGCTTCATGCCATGGTACGATCACTGTTTGCATGCTTCATGCCATGGTACGATCACTGCTTGCATGCTTCATGCCATGGTACGATCACTGTTTGCATGCTTCATGCCATGGTACGATCACTGTTTGCATGCTTCATACCATGGTACGATCACTGTTTGCTTGCTTCATGCCATTGTACGATCACTGCTTGCTTGCTTCATGCCATGGTACGATTACTGTTTGCATGCTTCATGCCATGGTACGATCACTGCTTGCTTGCTTCATGCCATGGTACGATCACTGCTTGCTTGCTTCATGCCATGGTACGATCACTGCTTGCTTGCTTCATGCCATGGTACGATCACTGCTTGCTTGCTTCATGCCATGGTACGATCACTGCTTGCTTGCTTCATGCCATCATGCCATGGTATGATATGTGTGCTTTTGGGTCGACTCAGAGTCGACTCAAGAGCATGTCATCTCACAATATGTGCCAGATCAAATGTGCCTAGTGTTCTCGTTCTCTCGGTTTACACCACGTGAACAAAAATGACTCCCACTTTCGATCTGCAACCTTGTCTCCCTGACACACACACTCCAATCTTTTCTCCCACGTACCTTACCTTTCCCCCTGCTCGATTCTCTCGCAAACATCCCCCTTCTTGCCCTATCCAGGGGGTGCCAGTGGAGGCGGTATTTGTGAATGCCAGCCTGTCAGGCGTGCAGCAGCGCAACCTGGAGGTGAGGCGAGAGTGGGAGAGCGGGGGATGAAGGGGAGGGCAGCACGTGGTTGCTTCAATGAGGATTAAATGGGTTCGACCCGCAGCAAGCCACGGAGTAGAGGGCAGCACGTGGTTGTTTGACCGTATTCGCTTTTGAGTCGACTCAAAAGTAGAGGGGAGCAGGTAGTTGTTTGACTGTATTCGTGAATGCGCGCTTGGACGCCTGGACGCTTGGACGCCTGGACGCTTGGACGCCTGGACGCCTGGAGAGGCAATTCTCTTAGGCGTGCAGCAGTGCACCCTCTTGGTCAGTCAGGGTGGGAAGGGACGGGGGAGTGGGAGCGGGGAGAGCATTGGGGGGGGTCAGGGAGAGTGAATGGCGTTAGTTAGAGAATGATAGGGCGAGAGAGGTTGGAGGGAAATAGAAACAGTGGGGTGGGGCTAGTTATCGAGATATTCGGTTTGGTGCACGCAGCAAACCAAAGCAAATTTGACAAAGACAAAACTTGGGTTATGTGCCAAAGCAACATATCGAACAACATAACCCAAGTTTTGTCTTTGTCAGATCCGATAGGTGCCAATGGACGCACCCCCGCACCACCCCACCCTCCTCCACTCCCCCCATTCCCCCTCCCTTCACCCCGTGCTCTTCGTTCCCCCCCCCAAGGCTGCGTTGGGCCTACCAGTGCTTAGCGTGTTTCCACTCCCCTACCCGCGCCCCCTCTGTGCCCCAACCCTCCAAGGCTGCGTGGGGCCTACCAGTGGTGGACAGAGTGGGGCTCATCATCGAGATCTTTGGTGCCCGCGCCAGAACACGCGAGGCCAAGCTTCAGGTGCGTGACGTGGCAGCAGTGCAGTGCAGTGCAGTGCTATGCAAACAAGCCTTCGGACTCTGCACTGCTCTGCAGTGCAAACGCATGCCTCTGTCCCTTTGGAATCTGCGGCAGCTCCTAGAGTAACCTCACTCTTAGGCACACTCTAAGTCGACTCAAAAGCACACTCTCTGCAAAGCTCTTAGAGCAACCCCAGGACGTTCCAGGAGGCATCAACCCCCCATCCTCTCCCCCCTTCCCCCCCACAACCGCCCCCCCACCCCCACCCCTTCCAACCTCACCCACTACCCTCGTTTCTCCTCAGGTGGAGATGGCAGGTTTGGAATTCCAGCGCAGCCGGCTGGTTCGGCTGCGAGGCTCGACGGGGCGCAGGCTCGGGTTTGGTTCGGGAGGGGAGCAGCAGGTGGTGAGTGCGAGGGGACGGGCGGCAGGAGGACGAGGGTTCCTGGCCGGCGCAGGGGAGAGCGAACTACAACTGCAGAGACGACGGTAAGTGGGGAGGGTGGGGGGGGTGGGGGGGGTTGGGGGGGTGGGGGGGTGTTGGACGGGGGGGGAGGCGAGGTAAGGGAAAGAAGAAGGGGAGGGAGGGTTGGGGGGAGGAGGAATGTGGTAGGGAGGATCAGAGGGACATGTCAGGTGAACTCACGGGGGCGGGCGGCAGGACGAAAGAGCTTTCTGGCCGGTGCAGGGGGGAGCGAGCCGCAGCTGCAGAGACGGGGAGTTTGGATAAGGAAGGGTTTGGGAGGTGGGAAGTGAATGGAGTGAGGGGAGCAGCTGCAGGTTTTTGAGTCGACTAAAAAATCCGTGTGTAATGAGTCGATCATTACACACGTGTGGATAAGGAAGGGTTTGGGAGGTGGGAAGTGAATGGAGTGAGGGGAGCAGCTGCAGGTTTTTGAGTCGACTCAAAAATCCGTGTGTAATGAGTCGATCATTACACGCATGTGGATAAGGAAGGGTTTGGGAGGTGGGAAATGAATGGAGTGAGGGGAGCAGCTGCACGTGGTGAGTGCAAGGGGCAGGGCCGCAGGAGAGCGAGGGTTCCATCACTCCTCCCGCTGTGATTCCGCTTCATTCCCTCCCCACTCTTCCTCCCCCCCACACCCCCCCCCCCCCCCCTCCTCCCCTTTTGCCTGCACCTTCGAACAGAATAGCAGAGAAGCAGCACAAGCTGCGGCAGCAGATAGAGCAAGTGAGGAGGACACGTGGCCTGCACCGATTGGCCCGCAGACGAGCCTCCTGGGAGGGCGGGGGAAAGGGCAGAGGGCTTCCGGTGGTGGCTGTAGTGGGGTACACCAACGCTGTGAGTTGCTTGTTATTGCGCTGCACGTGATACACACTACGCTCGTCACATGCAAGGGCAGAGGGCTGCCTTTGGTGGCTGTAGTGGGGTACAGCAACGCTGTGAGTTGTCTGATGCTGTGTCACACGTAATCTAATCCACACCCGGTCAGTGCTCTGTTTGCAAGGGCAGAGGGCTGCCGGCGGTTGCTGTAGCTGGGTACACGGATGCTGTGAGTCGTTTGTTATCGTTATATGTACATCTTGTTGCGAGGCTTTTTCTCCCTCAAGCTATCCTTTGTATTAATGCAGAGATGAGTACAGGCAGTAGACAGCAGTGTTGCGAGTTTTTTTCTCTCTCAAGCGGTCCGTTTATTGCTTGGAAACCTTGGTACAGGCTAGGCATGCAAGGGGCGGCAAGTCAAGGTACGTGCATGTTTCTGGGGACTCGGATCTACTCGGTCTCCCCTAGGGGCTCTGCTATGGCAAAGCAGTCCCCGGGTGCCATATCAGCGTCGGGGGTGCCCACTGGGGCGTGGGTGGCGGGGGAGGCTTCATTAACTTTGCCCAGGTAAGCCAAGGCCTGTGCCCGCTGCAGCGTCACTGACCAGCGTTGGCGAAACTGGTGGAGCAGTTTCGCTGCCTGGTAGGAGCTGGGGTCTGCATTGAAAAGTCTCCTGGCCCCTGTGTTAGCCAGCAACTTCAAGAAGGTAGGAACCTCGGCGCAGGGGCAGCCATATGTCTCGACTGCCAGTGGGAAGAACCCGACGTAGGGAGCCCGATTTCGGTAATGGGAGATATTGGTAATGGGAGATTTTTGTAATGGGAGCCCGATTTCGGTAATGGGAGATTTTTTTCTCTCTCTCTATCTCTCTCTTTCTTTTCTTATTGGTGTGCCTTCTTGTATATATCACTGTGTTAATTTTCACATGTGTCCTTCGCCCCACGTGCGTGCGTGCCTATGCTCTCGTTTGCAGGGAAAGTCAACTTTGGTAACAGCCCTATCGCAGTCTCCCCAATACATTGACGACCGGTGGGGGATCAGATGGCCATGTAACAGTGCAAAAGTTTGACGCAGTTTTTTTTTTTTTTTTTTTTTTTTTTTTTTTTTTTTCTCTCCATTAAAGCGCACAGGCGTCGTTCACTCGTCTCATTTGAACATTTCCTAGAAGGGAAGGTCCATTCTACCCACGCGTTTTCCTCCCCCTCTGCTGCATGCGTCTTCATTTTGAATCCTCTTCTTCGCCTGCATCAACTCTCATCCCCTGGATCCGTGTGTGCCCTTTCTTGTCCAGGTTATTTGCAACTTTAGATCCTCGGGTGCGTGCAGTCAAGCTACCATCAGGGTAAGATGCGTGTGTTTGGGTACGCGTAACTTACCATTGTAAAGCATGCGTTTTGTTTCGTTTTTTTTGCCCTCTTCTTCTTCTTTTTTTTTTTTTTTTTTGGCAGATATTGGTTGCACTTCATACCTTACCTGTGTTTTTTCCCTTGTCTATGTTTATGCACATCTATACTTCGAGGATTGTGTTTATTTTTGGGGCGCCTAAAAAATAGACTCTTCACGTGAGGATTGTGTTTCGTGATCTCTTACCGTTCCAGGCGCAGCAGGGTGCTATTGAGCGACACGGTGGGGTTCATATCCCATCAACTGCACAGTTGATTGCGCAGGGTGCCACTGAGAATGCGCCCTTCCTCTTTTCTCATCATCACGCATGTTTTGGGAATTCTCAAAAATCTCTTTCCTCTTGTCTTATCATCTCTCCAGGCGCAGGGTGCTATTGAGCGACACGGTGGGGTTCATATCCGATCTCCCGCATCAACTAGTCGAGGCATTTCACGCCACGCTGGAGGAAGTGATCGAAGCTGATCTTCTGCTGGTACGCACGCACATGCTCTTAGACCAGTGCTGGTACGCACGCACATGCTCTTAGACCAGTGCTGGTACGCACGCACATGCTCTTAGACCAGTGCTGGTACGCACGCACATGCTCTTAGACCAGTGCTGGTACGCACGCACATGCTCTTAGACCAGTGCTGGTACGCACGCACATGCTCGTAGACCAGTGCTGGTACACACGCACATGCTCTTAGACCAGTGCTGGTACGCACGCACATGCTCTTAGACCAGTGCTGGTACGCACGCACATGCTCTTAGACCAGTGCTGGTACGCACGCACATGCTCTTAGACCAGTGCTGGTACGCACGCACATGCTCTTAGACCAGTGCTGGTACGCACGCACATGCTCGTAGACCAGTGCTGGTACACACGCACATGCTCTTAGACCAGTGCTGGTACGCACGTACATGCTCTTAGACCAGTGCTGGTACGGCTTCTTTGTAAGCACGCATGCAAGGTATGTCCTATCGATATCTCCTCCCCTACCTACTCCCCCCCCGCATCAACTGGTGGAGCGTGCCATTTGACACTGGGGGAAGTGCTTGTGCCTGATCTGCTGCTGGTATGTTTCGTTATAAGCCATGCAGCAGCACATGTACAGGCATGCACACGCGCGTGCAACGTATGCAATACACATACATCCCTTCCAAATCAATACATCACTTTGCTCATCATCCCCACTTCCCCCCGTGCCGCCCGGCCGTGTCAGCATGTGGTGGACGCGTCAGCACCCGACATGCATCAGCAGCGCCAGGCTGTCATGCACGTGCTGGCGCAGATGGGGGTCCCGCTGGACCACGGGATGGCTACTGACGTCAGCATGGCGGCTCGTACAAGCATGGAGGCAAGCCGTGGCATGCGTGGTGCAAGCATGCATGGGGAAAGCAGCAGGAGGGAGGGGAGGTTCTTCACCCACCCACGGATAATCGAGGCTTGGAACAAGGCAAGTGCCAATGCAATTTCTTCCCCTTCCCCGTCCCTCCCTCCCCCCCTGGACTTTCTCTTGTCAGTACAGTAATGTGAAATGTGCTTTTACCGACATCCATTCTTTCCGTTTTCAGGTGGACCTTCTTCCCCCCTCACATCCTCTGCTCTCCGGCTCTTCCCTGATAGAGTCAACCCTTCATAAAAGCACATCGATTTGGGATAAGCCCATCGCAACAGAGCAGGTAGTACGTCTGTCTAGATCTCATGACCGGACACAGAACGAATTGTTGGAAATCCACTCAAGAACGGACGAGGTCAATGGGCGATTTGAGACGAGTGAGAATGCAGGGTTTGGTGCAGAGTTGGAGGGTGGATGGACCATTCAAGGTGATGCTGGAGACATCCCTGGATGCCAGGAAGCGGTCGAGGAGGAGGATGAGGAGGTTTTTGTGGAGGAGCATGAGGCAGATGAATTGGGAGGGTTGGGGATGGATGGACAAGGAGAGGACTTCACCCGGAGCAGATGTTTGGATGGAGGGTTTGAATCATTTGCCAGCACTTTATGCTGCGAGGGTGCTATGTGGAAGGGAGCTTCAGCCCACCGCACTTCGTTTAGGCCGCGGATAATATCGGCAGTTTGTGGCATTGGCTTGGAGCAGCTTCTGAAGGAGGTCGATGAAGCTCTGGTTGAAAGAGGGATATAGCAGTCATTTGCATTTCAGTACATAACATGTGCTTTTACATTTTGTTAAGTCCTTCCTTACCGAAACAGTTTTGCTTTAAGCATATCACCAAGAAAGATGCCTGAATTGTACTGGCTGAAGGAATATGCCAGACCATGCTTTTCACGTTTCAGCATTTCAGCCAGCTGGCTTCGTTGGATGCTGTCAGCAAGCACACTCGAGGCTGCCACACGCGTTCGTCGCGTTGCTTGAATTTGCAAGGACAGGACGCCACAACAAGTTCATCCGCTGTTTCGCAAACGGCTATACACTAGTGTAGCTGCCATTTACATCCTGGCCGACAAAGTTTTGTTGGAAAATGAGGCGACACCAGCTGAAGAATCCGCGTGAACAACAAACACATAAGGGGTATGCCTAGGGCAGAGAAAAAGTCCTGGGTGCAGCGACCCACTAAGGGCGTGTTCCGCGCTCGGGGCAAGCCTCGAGGCAGACTCGGAAGCCCCGACGCTGGAAGGCCGGAGGCTTTGGGTCCACGATCAAAAAGTGGTTTGCGGCAGAAAACCTTAACTGCCAACCACTGAGCTTAGGGAAGAAGTAGGCCGCAACCAATAACACTCATCGTAAACGAACCGAACACTGTAGCCCGAACTCATCGTTGCCATGAAGTTAGGTTTGGAAGCCCCAAACTGAAGCCCCGAGGCTCTGCCTAGAAGCTTTCCCCAAGCGCAGGACACGCCCTAGGATCCAGCGTGCCTCGGGCGTGTCCAGAGAGGGATCTCTGGGGATCCGGACAGATATTGACCGATGTCGAGGGAGGTGGGTGGGGCATCCAAAGCTGGCTCACCTGTCCAGAGTGGGTGACATTGCTACTTTTCAAACATCGACTTTTGAATGGGTGACCTCGGGCACATTGCTACAGTGGTCACAGAGTGCCCGGGCAGCCTCGTCGAGCCGGGGGTGTCCAGAGTACCGAAACCCAATATTCATCCTCCACTGTCGGCCACGACATCCGACGAATGTCTTCGGATGTCAGGGTTTCACTCTAAACACGCCTGTAGCCGCTCACGTAGTGCGTGTTCTGGCTAGTGGTTGAGCTGATTTGTGTCGATTTGCGAAGCAATGTACAGAAAGATCCAATGGCGATGACTGACATTCAATTCAAGTTTCCATCCTTCCCTTCCCACAGATATCGCATCACTGACATTCGCCTCTGTATTTGCCATGTAGGGATTCCCGTCCAGTCTCGACAAGAACAACATGAGTGCAAAAACTCAGGAATGACGCGGTCAGGGGGGCTGAACAAGGACGGGAAAAAATTAGGGTTAAAGCCCAGATCTTAAGTTACAAGCCGCGAAATGAGAGTGCGGCTTGGGGTGGGGCGAGAGGCTTGCGATTGGCTGCGAGGGTGACGAGAGCCCAAATTCTGAAATTTGGTTTGAGAAATTCGCAAATCCGAATTTGCACTTCGCAAACCAAAACTCAAACATGGCTGGGAACAGAAAAGAAGAAATGAGCAGAGCACTATAGACGGAACAGCAGTCCTGGGCTAACGTGGCACACCATCAACCAGCCGCGCTCCAGCAAACGCGCCGAACACAGCTAAGAACTTCCAAAAACGCCAGACATGACCGCAGCCCATAATTCGCGCGCAATATCGGGATTTCTGCTAGCGTAAATTTCCACTTTTGCCAGCAACTCAGAGTAGACTCGGCTACAGGTCACATGGATATCGCATTTCCATTTATTTTCGCGGATAACGCGCGCATGTCTAGCATCGGTGGATCGCAACGCGCCATTTGAGATAAGGCCATGCGTTCCTATAGGCGTAAGGAATAAAATTCGGCTGACTAAGGCTCTGAAATAGAACGAGGCAGCGCCTCCCGGTTAGGGCGTTATACCAGGAGGGCATAATAGCGCAAGGAGGGAGACGGTGACGAGAGGCAGCGCGTCTCGACTCCGCAATGCATTCGCGGCGCAGAGCGAGATGGGGGGATGCAGAGCGAGAGGGGGGTATGCAGAGCGAGAGGGGGGGATGCAGAGCAAGAGAGAGGGTGATGCAGAGCGAGAGGGGGAGGGGTACTAAGCGAGAGAGGGGGGGGTACCGAGTGAGAGAGAGGGGGATGCAGAGCGAGAGAGAGGGATGCCCAGCGAGAGGGAGAGGGATGCCCAGCGAGAGGGAGAGGGATGCCCAGCGAGAGAGAGAGGGATGCCCAGCGAGAGAGAGAGGGATGCCCTGCATTCCTCCCCCTGCTCTCCTTCCCCCCTTCATTCCTCCCCCCTGCATTCCTCCCCCCTGCATTCCTCCCCCCTGCATTCCTCCCCCCTGCATTCCTCCCCCCTGCATTCCTCCCCCCTGCATTCCTCCCCCCTGCATTCTTCCCCCCTGCATTCTTCCCCCCTGCATTCTTCCCCCCTGTTCACTTTCTCCCTGTGTTCTTGTCCTCTCTCTCTCTCTCACTTTTCCTCTCACACTCTCTCCCTTCCGTGTTGTTGAGCTATTTTGCTGAACCTAGTACCGGTACATGTCCGCATGCCAGGTCTGACATGCCAGGGTTCCAGCTCCCTTGGCTGGACTGATGAGAACCACAGGATGCGGTGGTGGGAGGGCGGCCATGGTCCCTGCTCACTAAGCTGTTGCTGCCATAATAGCTGCAGCGAAGGAACGACAGCTTCCCTGCTCTCATGCCTCACTCACCCCCTCCCTGCTCTCATGCCTCACTCACCCCCTCCCTGCTCTCATGCCTCACTCATCCCCTCCCCTGCTCTCCCTCCTCTCCCCCTCCCCTGCTCTCCCTCCTCTCCCCCTCCCCTTCTCTCCCTCCTCTCCCCCTCCCCTGCTCTCACACCTCTCCCCCTCCCCTACTCTCCCTCCTCTCCTCCTCCCCTGCTCTCGCTCCTCTCCCCCGCGCCTCTCTCCCCCCCCGCCCCTCACCCCTCCCTCCTTCTTGACCTCTCATGCCTCACTCCCACCCCTGCTTTTGGCGCCTCTCCCTCTCCCTTCCCTAAACTCCGTCGCTGCTCCCCCGCCACTTTCCATCCCCTGCTCTCACGCCTCTCTCCCTCCCCTGCTCTCACGCCTCTCTCCCTCCCCTGCTCTCACGCCTCTCTCCCTCCCCTGCTCTCACGCCTCTCTCCCTCCCCTGCTCTCACGCCTCTCTCCCTCCCCTGCTCTCACGCCTCTTTCCCTCCCCTGCTCTCACGCCTCTCTCCCTCCTCCCCCCCTCCCCTGCTCTCACGCCTCTCTCCCTCCTCCCCCCCTCCCCTGCTCTCACGCCTCTCTCCCTCCTCCCCCCCTCCCCTGCTCTCACGCCTCTCTCCCTCCTCCCCCCCTCCCCTGCTCTCACGCCTCTCTCCCTCCTCCCCCCCTCCCCTGCTCTCATGCCTCTCTCTCTCCCCTGCCCTCTCCCAGGCAGGCTGCAAGGGAAAGCGGGAAGCGGGAAGCGGGAAGCGGGAAGCGGGAAGCGGGAAGCGGGAAGCGGGAAGCGGGAAGCGGGATGCGGGAAGCGGGAAGCGGGATGCGGGAAGCGGGATGCGGGGTGCGGGGTGCGGGAAGGGGGATGCGAAAGCTTCGCGTTTGATTCCCTGCCTTTTTTTCTTGCGCTATTTCGTCCAGGCTTGGCTACGCGCGTGAGGATCTTCCACTGATAATTAGTAACTAGTCTAACGCCGGTGTCGCCTAGTTCCCAACTCTCAGATTCGCCGGTCAGATTCGCTTAGGTCATCGGTCGCTGCCAACTCTCTAGCCTGGCTACGCGTGCAGTTAGGGTTCATGTAACTAGGCAGCAAGGAGAGCGAGACAGGCTTTTCTTGGGTCTCATATCACCAATTTGCAATCTAATTCCCCTTGGTCGTTTTTGCAGCCAAGGGAGAGGGCTGTGGGGTGGGCTTGCGTTAGTCGTTTGGCTTCAACCAATCGCATGGCCCCTTTTGACACCTGGAGGGGGTCGTTCAATTGTCCCCAGGTGCATGGGGTTACCCCTTTTTTTTACGCTCCGACTTTGCTAGCAAAACCAATCGCGCCTTGTAGTTTGGGATCTGGGCTTTAAACCAAACCCCCACCCCCCTTCTCCCCCCCCCCTCCCTCCTCCCCTCCCCTGAGAAAGAAAACACTCAAGCTGATTTGCTTGCCTCCCTGACCTAGCCAATTGCCTTCACTGTTTGAAAAGCCACCCCCAGGGTTTGGTATGAAAAGTCTCTAGACCGTACAGAACCGTAATCGAACGTGTTAAAGTGAACTCTAGTCACATGCCTTGAAACCAAACCAACCGTCCCACCCTCACGGTCCACTCAGGATGCAGAACAACCCTCTTGAACCCCACCGACTCATCACGGTCCGTCTCAAAAATTTCGCGCTCTGAACCGAATGCATTCTCGAAGCCAACCACCTCATGATGTATCATCATCCGCATCCTCCAAACTGCCTCCAGCTCACCATCACTGCCATCCTTCCCACCACATCACATCACCCGTCCCACACTCCCCTCTCTCCCTCCGATCATTGCAGATTAGATCGTCTCGTCGCATTGTCTCATCCCCAGATTATGAATGTCCCGTAACCCATCCCATCAGGCTTTGCCGCCTTTATTCCCCCTCACGCCATGGCTGCCAGCCGCCCACTTTCGTCGCACCTGGGCTGCAGCTGGGCTGCTGCGCACTGCGCACGCTGCCGCAAGGCCTCACTTCCAGTCAGCCAGTCAGCCCGTCAATCCAGCCTAGCTCCCCCCTCAGTCGCCTCGAATCCGCCATGCCATGCAAGCCCGGGAATTGCCCTCAGACAACCCAGCAGAGCATGTCTCAGCACAGCCACTCGGCTCACCCTAGAGCAGCTCAGTTGAGCCCAGCTCAGGGCACGGTGTAGTAGAGTGAGGACCGAAGTGAAGTGACGCTTTGGAAGGGTCTGGTTTAGGAAGTAACCGAGGGGAGCTGAGCTGAGCAGAGTTGAGCTGGTTTGCCTGTTGCGCTTAAGGCCCCCATCATGTGGACGCAGTGGAACTCAGCAAGCCATGGATGAACGGCCAAGACCCACCTGTTCTATCGATGCAGGGGAGCGCCTCGCCTCGCCTCGCCGCACCGGCATTCGCCCTGAGGGCTGGTCGCTTATCCAAGATCGCACGGATTCTGAGGGCTTGTTGTCACGCGTGCGTTGAGGTTACTCGAGTGGAGGAACCTGCGTTGTTCGGCCGTCCGTTAATCTCGCTTCTGAGGGCGAATGAGACTCGCATTAGAGAGACTCGCATTAGAGAGAGCGAGCGGATCTCGCAACAGGTCGGACCCACCTGCATGCCTTCGATGTTTGTCGAGCAAACGTTGAGTCAACGGCGCGCTACACTGGAGGCAAAGCCTTACCGTAGCTGTACGGCGCGACGGGTTGTTAGCAGTAGACGGTAACCATCCCGGTGCCGCAGCCGGAGCGCGCAGCTATGTACGATAGTACGACGCGACATTGGCGAGTCGCTGTGGACCACGGTACCGATTAGTATTAGTAGTAACTTATTGCTCTGGTAACCTAGTCTAGTCGATGGCGACCGAAACAATCCGCGCTGCCTTTCGACGCCCCGCCGCTGGAGCCATGGCGGAACGTCTGTTCGATCCGAATTCTTTCGAACTCACTGATGTGAGAGGGGACTCCGACTTAGGAACGATGGGTCCGTCGTTGCGCGGTCGGGGGAACGTTTTCGTCGGCCGTATTACCGCGGCGGACGAATCGGCTAATCCCCGCGCAGATCCGGCTGCGACGCGGCGACGCAGCCCATCGAAGCCGTATCACCGTCGCAGCCCATCGCAGTCGTTCGACCGTCGCAACGGCCCGTCGCAGTCGTTCGACTTCGATAACGACTGGTGTAGGAGTGCCGACACCGCCGCCGATCGTCGCGAAAGGCTCCGAGGCGGAGGGATGGTGAGGGGGGAACGGCAGGCGGAGGTCCCAAGGGTTGGCGCAGCGCAAGTTGGCGGGGAACGCACCGCGGAGTTGCGCGGAACAGTGCCGGCGCGCGGAGAAAGTAGTCAGCAGCGACGCGCGCAGGCCGCGGAGACGCCGCTCAGATCCCCCCCGCATCGCGTTGAGCCGTCCGGAACAGGCTCGGGAACAAGCGCGAGAACAGGCTCGTTACCGAACCAGGAGTGGGAGAAGGCCGTTGTGTCCCGAGCCTTGAGCGGCGGAGTTTCCGCGGACTGCGGCCCCGATTGGCGCGGCGCGGCGGATCGCGCAGCGGCATGGGCGCGCAAGGACGGCGGCTGCGGAGCAGCGTGGCGGAAGCCCGGCGGTTTCCTCCCCCCGCGCCTGCTCCTCTGCACGGGGCCTCCCGCCGCCATGTCCCCGTGCTCCACGCTCGAACACCAGCTCAGCCCCTACTGCTCTTCCGCTGCCACGTCAGCTGCCTCCAGCCCGTTCGCTGCCACGTCATCAGCGTCCAGCCCGTTCGCGGTGGCGAGTCCTCTTTCGTCCGCCATCAGCCCGCTAACCCCCTCCCCGCTGTCCGGAAGAAACGCCTCCCCGCTATCCGGGGGGACCCCCTCTCCGCTGTCCCGCGGGAGGAGCGCCTCCCCCCAATCGACGAGATGCGCCTCTCCACTTGCTGGCGGAAACTCCTCTCCGCTTGCTGGCGGAAACTCCTCCCCGCTATCCCGGGGAGTCCCCTCACCTCTGTCTGGCGGAAGCTCCTCCCCGCTTCTTCCGCGCAGCCCCCTCCCCCTCCGCAGCCCGTTGCCCGCGCGCACTCCCCCCTCGCCCCTTCGCCCGCGCAGTCCCCTTCCCGCGCGCAGTGCCCCCTCCGCCGGTCCCGCTCCGCCCTCCCCGCACGTCAGTCCCGCGCATGCGCGTCTCCGCTCCGCCTCCAAGAGCCCCATTGCGCGCCGAGCGCTTGCCCGCTCCGTCAGCCCGCTGTCTGGAGTTTCCCCGCACCCACCTGGCCCGCACCCACCTGGCCCGCACCCACCTGGCCCGCACCCACCTGGCCCGCACCCACCTGCGCCGTTCCAAACTGCCTCGCCGCTTTCAATCGCCCCGCTTCCGATCGCGCCGGTTTCGCCTGCCCCCGTGCTATCACCAGCAGCGTATCGCGATGCGGCGCCTGTCGTCGTTCACTCGCCCGGTTCCACTAGCCATATGGATGGTACATGCGCTACCGGAATATGCAACACCAGCACATGCGGCGCGGACAACTGCTTCTTTCGGAGCAGCAGTAGCAGCAGTATCAGTGGCAGCAGTAGTGGCTGCTCCTCCTCCTCCTTTTTCCGCAGTAGCAGCAGCAGCAGCAGCTGCAGCAGCAGCAGCACCGCGCACAGCCGCAGCAGCAGCCCTCTAAGAGGAGGCGGAGGCGGAGGCGGGGTGGGAGGGGGAGGGGGAGCGCACGGGCCTGTGTTTGTCAGGAGGCCCAGTCTGTTGTCGCGCACGCAACTGACCCTCTCCCCTGCATCGCCGCATCCTGCGCCCTCTGCTCTCAAAACATGCCCCTCCCCCTTCTCCGCCAGCCCGCGCCCAGCCTCCCCCCAAGCGCGCCCTGTGTCTCCCCCATCGCACCCAGCCTTTTCCGCAGTGCCCCCTGCGTCGCCCCTCCTCTCCCCCAACTCATCCGCACTCCAACCACCCTCCCCCTCTCCCCTCCTCTCCCCTCCCCCTCGTCTCCGTTCCCCTCCCCGTCTCCTCCGCCCGGCTTCCCCCCTCCTCCGCCCCCCCTCCCCGCTCCTCCGTCCTTGTTCCCCTACCCTTCCCCCTGCAACGCCTTCCTTCTTCCGCCCCGCCCCTCCATTCCCAACATCCCCAGCCTCTCCCCCTCCCCCCAACACCACTCGCCCCCCCCTCAACACCACTCCCCCTCCCCCTGCTGACCTTCCTGCCACGCCTCCCTCTCCTACTCTCTCCTTCGCTCCTGCGCCATGTGGTTTGGCAAGCCAGCACGGAGGGACACGGGAACAAGGGGGAGGTCGCAGGGAGAGTTTTGAGCCGACTCAAAAATTTGCTCCGTCCAATTCGGCAAGCCAGCTCGGAGTGGCAGGGGAGCAAGAGGGGGGTCGCAGGGAGAGGCGGAAAGGGAGCGTGCAGTTGGCAGCAGGGGCATTGAGGGGAGGAGGAGGGGCAGTAGCAGGCGCAGCAGACGCAGCAGCAAGAGCAGCAGGAGCAGCAGGAGCAGCAGGAGCAGCAGGCGCAGCAGGCGCAGCAGGAGCAGCAGGCGCAGCAGGAGCAGCAGGCGCAGCAGGAGCAGCAGGCGCAGCAGGAGCAGCAGGCGCAGTGGGAAACGGAGGAAAGGCAGGAGGCGGAGTGAGAGGACGGAAAGCAGGTGGTGTGGAGAGCCGCCGGGCCATCGGGCTGTCTGCGCTGACGCGAGACAGGGGAGCGGTGGGGGGAGGAACAGCCAGGGAGAGAGGTGCGGGTAGCAGGCGGCCAGGGAGAGACGAGAATAGCGGAGAGCTGAAGGCGGGAGGAGGCGGCGGGGGAGGAGGGGGAGTGGAAGAGGGGCAGATGCAGCAGGAAAAAGCAGGGAGAGCTTGGAGAGCTTGATGGCATACACAGCAGCCACTCCTGGCAAGAGCAGCAGCAGCAGCGGCAGCAGCAGCAGCATGTGGTGGCAGCTGCATTTGAGAACCAAGATCAAGTGGGCATTGCTCTAGTCGTCCAACGTAGAGACCTCTCAGCACAACTCGCGCCCCATTCACCTCAACTCCCTCGCTCCCCCCACACTCCCCACACTCCCCACACTCCCCACACTCCCCACTCTCCCCACACTCCCCACACTCCCCACTCTCCCCACTCACCGCACACTCCCCACTCCCCCTTACGTACCACCTCCCGTCCTCCTCTCGCAAACTCCCCTCTCTCCTCTCCTCTCTCCTCCCCACTCACTCCTCCGCATCTTCACTCGCTCTTCTCTCCCAACACCACCCCTCATCGCCCTCTCCTCCCCTCCCCCCTCTCCTCCTCCTCCTGCTCCACCCCCACTGCTCCCCTCCTCTCCCCCTTGGGATCTCCAGCTCCGTCCCTCGCCCGCCCAGCCTCCACCTCAGCTTCGGCTGCATGCTCGGGAGCAGGTTCGGCAGCAGGCTCGGCTCTGGCAAGGAGCTGGAGGGAGCGGGCAGGTTCGGCACGAGCCTCGGGCTCAGCCTCGGCATCGAGTCTGGTGTTTAAACGAAACAGCAGCAGCAGCAGCATGTGCCATGAGCGTGTGCAATCCTTTTCTGCTGTTTCTGGTTCTGCTGCTGCTGCTGCTGCTGCTTCGGTTGTCTGTGCTGCTGGTGCTGCTGTTTGCACTGCAGCTGGTGGTGCAACAGGGAGAGCAGGCGTGGAGGGAGCAGCAGTCAATGAAGCGAGGCCAGCAAGCATGCGCGGCAGCAGCAGCAGCAGAATCAGCAAGGGGGACAGCAACAAGCATAACACAATCTCCAGCAGCGCCATCACCAGCGGCGGCTGCTGCGCGCCTGAGTTCCCATCGCTCCCCCGCCTGCGCATGCGCACCCCCCTCTCCCACAGCATGGACGCCGGATCCCTCTCCCTCCTCCCCATCATCGCCGCTGCTGCTGCTGCTGGTGTCGGTGGTGCGGCTGGTGCTGGTGCTGATGCTGGTGTTGCTGTTGCTGGTGGTGGTGATGGGAGTGGTGGTGCTGTTGCTGGTGATGGGAGTGGTGGGAGTGGTGGAGGGGGAGGGGAGGTACGGAGGGAGGAAAGCAGTGGTTGGGGTGAGCGAGGGCAAGGAGACAAGCCACAAGTGTACCACCAACAGCAGCTGCTGCAGCTCATTCAGCAGCAGCTGCTGCTGCAGCAGCAGCAACAGCAGGGGCAGAGGCAGCAACAGAGGCGTCAGAAGCAGCAAGGGCAGCAGCAGCTGCAGCAGGGGCAGCCTCGGGTGCGACGTGGCAGCGTGGCAGTGGATGGCATGGGCGACTCCTTCCAGGAATTCAGGAGCCTCCGGCCGGCAGAATTTGTTTTACGCCGCTCCTACTCCGACGTACACGCCACATATGCCATCGACTACCAAGCACCACCCCTGGGCCGAGGCCAATTCGGGGTGACTCGGCGATGTGTGGAGAAGAGAACGGGGGAGGTGCTTGCGTGCAAGACGATTGACAAGAAGAGCATTAAGACGCATGAGGACGCGGAGGATGTGAGGAAAGAAGTGGCTTGCTTGGAGCTGTTGGCTGGTCACCCCACTATTGTGAAGATTAAAGATGCGTTTGAGGATTCCACCCACGTGCATATAGTGACGGAGTTGCTCGCGGGCGGCGATCTCTTCGACAGAATCAGATCGCGCCGCCGCCTCCCGGAGCCGTCCGCCGCCCAGCTCTGCGCCGCCCTGATTGAAGCGCTTCTCCACTGCCACTGCAGAGGCATCACGCACCGCGACATCAAGCCCGAAAACATCCTCCTTACAAGCCTCTCCTCCGACTCCACTATAAAGCTCATCGACTTCGGCGTGTCGACTTCATACCAACGGGGTGTGCCTCTGACCGACGCGGTTGGGACACCAGAATACATGGCTCCTGAAGTGCTTAGGCAGAGCTACGGCCCCGAGGCGGACATATGGAGCGCGGGGGTGGTTATGTACGTGGCGCTTAGTGGCGCGCCGCCTTTCTGGGGGTCGGAAAAGCGGTCGGTGGTGGAGCGGATACTTAAGAAGGAGGTGGCGTTTAAAGGGGTTAAGTGGGAGGGAGTGTCGGAGGAAGCGAAGGACCTGGTGGCTCGAATGCTGGTGAAAGACGCCAGCAGGAGGATCCGGCCGCTTGAGATTCTAGGTGAGTTGTTGCAAACCCTTGGAATATTGAGCTTCATGTTGAGTGAGTGTGCTGCAAGGATCGCTGCAACTTGACTAAGCTGGCACTCAGCCTCTCTCTCTCTCCACTTCTCGCTGTGCCTTGTCCTACAACCGGTCCTCTCCTGCTTTTCCGTGTGCTGTGCGCGTGTTTCCGTCTCTTCTTACAGAGCACCCGTGGATTCAGAAGTGGAAGCTGGCTGCTCACACGTGAGGGATCGTTGCGTACTGGATAGTGAAGAGAGTGCGAATTCTGGTGGCTGAGGCTTTTGAGAAATTTCAAAAACCATCTGGCTGCTCCGCACACGTGACGAAACTCCTGGGTACTGGATGCTGATAGAGAGAGCCCGGACTGGACTCTGGCGGCTGCCACTCTTTTGAGGCGCCTCAAAAGTTGCTGATAGAGAGCCCGGACGCTGGTGGCTGCGGCTTCCTCGCTTGCCTCGCTACTGAAAACGACCACCTTGTAAATAAATAGCACTCCGGAATTGGGTCCGGAATAGTACGCTGGATGCTGAAGGCGAGGACGAGCTCCAGGGCAATGGGAACATCTTGATTCTTCCAGAGGCTTCCTTTCTTTCTTTCTAGGAGTTAGAGCAGTGGCAGCTGGGGGTGTGCAACGCACAGCCCGTGTTGTATTATTATTTAGAATAAGGAAGGTGGGGGTAAAAGATTACCCCCCTTTCCCTCTAGTTCATTCTTTGCTATTCTTCTCATTTTTTCATTCATACAAATCAAACACTCCTTGATTGATGTGTTGTATTTTCTTCCTCCGCCTCCAAGTTTAAATGAAGGTTAGCAGGTTGATTCTATTGAAGATGGAGATAACATGGCATAAGTAGTCGCTTATTTGGTGAGCCAACCAAGCTTGCCATCTGTCTATGGTTGTATGCATAAACTAGGTGAAGTCAGTTCGGCTCACTACCTGAGAATGAGTTAGCCCGTCTCACTGTAACGCGGATAACACTACCGCCACCATAGCACTCCATCCTCCCCACATCATGCGATGCCTCCTCCTGAACAAGACCAGCCAGCAGCACTAGTCATAATTTGATTGTACCGACGGAATTTCGTTGCACCAGCAAGTGCGAGAATATTTCGCGGTGATAGCAGCCTAGGTAGGCACGCCACGGCACGGCACGCCGGCGTTTTTCACTGCCGTTGTTTCGCCGAATGAACGACGAAGCTCTGACCGTTGCCTTTTGAGGCGCCTCAAAAGGCGCTGAGCGTTGCCTGCTGTTAGAAAGGAAGCCCGATGTTGGGCGCATCGCCTGGCATGCGGCGGCAGGATTTGGCAGAATACGCATAACTCCCCTTTTTCTACCTATTTCCAGGCCGATCCGACACTCCCCTCTTGCGAATGCAGCAGTTAGGGTTTCATTTTAGACCATTCCGTAACGCGGATGAAGCTGTTGGCGTTTGTAGAGTTTCTCCGTGCGTCGCTGTCCGCACGTGACGTGCTCGTCTCCCTGCTCGCCCTTTCCCTCGCCTGCCACGTGGCACGCGTTCCGCAATGCACGGAGCTCTCCCACTGGTGCGTCAGAAGCTCCTGGAAGGCGGCACGGACGGAGAGTCTCGACCCGGTCGTCGTCGAGGCGCGTCAGAAGGCGAATGGGTTGCGCGAAGCGCAGGAGCCGCAGCAGCTGAGGCGCCAGTTACAGGAGCAAGGAGGGGAGGAGGAGCAACTGTCCCGGAACAGAGCGGGGAGAAGAGAGCTTAGTACCACCGGACGTCACAGCTTCAATGCCGAGCCAGGACGTTCAGGTCGGGGCCGAACCTCGCCAACAGGCTCGGAGACAGGCTCGGGAGCTGGTTCCGAACCAAGGCAGTCTCCTCCTTACCCCTCCCTCGCCCTGTACACGGCTCCTATCGGGTATAACACCACTATGACGGCTTTAAAGCGCGCTGTGCTCTCTTGGCTACGCCTCGCCCCTCCTCCCTACACCCCTAACGTGTATTTAATAGGCTCGGATCCGCTTAACTACTCCCAGCCGCACCCGTCCCTAGTGTGGCTTGCGAAGCAGTTCCCAAGGCACGTGCACGCTATAGGCGGCTCAGGGGAGCGCAGAAGAAGGGGGCAATGGGCGGAAAGGGGGGTAGCGGAAGGGGAAGTGGTGGAGGGGATATGGGCGAAGGGGATATGGGGGAAGGGCATTTGGGGCAAGGGGATTTGGGGCAAGGGGATTTGCTGGGAGGAGGGGTGGATGTGACTTATGACGGTGTGATTAAAATGAATTCGCTGTTTGCAAGGGCGATGGCTGAGAGAGAGGCGGATGTAGCGGGGGTGGTTGACCCGGATGTCGTGCTGCTGGAGATGTGACTGCGGCTGTAGCGCGGCTGACGTGGCAGGAGGAGCAGGAGAGGAGGGAGATGAGAAAGTGGGAAAGGGGGTGGTGGAATGGAGAGAGCAGGAGGGAGGGGGGAGCAGAGTAGAGGAGGAGCGAGAGGGGGAGCGAGAGGGGGAGCGAGAGGGGGAGCGAGAGGGGGAGCGAGAGGGGAGAGAGTGGGAGGAGGGATGGGCACAGGGGCAGGCGGCTGAGGAGAAGGGGCTCCACGGAGCATCAGGGCGAGCCCCCCCGATGGGCCCTCACCTCCTCTCTCTGGCGCGTTGGCTGGTTCCCCTTCGTTCTGGACAACCTGCCTTCGGAGATCCAGCCGGCCAATCACAAGCCGCCAGCTGGCGTGGACGAGGCGGGCGTGCGGAGATTTCTGGGGAGGCATGCTGAGCTGGACACTGGAGGGCCAGTCGGGTTCGTGATGTGGAGTCAGAGACAGTTCCGGGAAGCTTCCTCTGCTGCAGCTACAGCAGCAGCAGCAGCAGCAGTGGGTGAGGGAGAAGCAGCAAGCACTGTAGCAGCGACGCCCGCATTCAACCGGAACGGGTTGCGGGTTTCGTTGTTTTCGGAGCCCATGCCGCCCTTCCTGTATGGGCGGGGGCCTCAGGGGTGGCAGTGGGTGCTGCGACAGCTGGCACGGGATAGCCGAGGGGAGGAGATGGGAGAAGGGGGAGAGATGGAGAAGACAGGGGGGAGGGGCGAGAGGGGAAGAAGGGAGAGGCGCAGGAGGGAGCGCGAAGAGTGGAGGGGAGGTGGGCGCATAGAAGGGCGTGGTACTGGATGGGGGAGGGGAGGGGAAGGGTGAGGTGGGAGAGGGAGGAGGCTTGGGAACAGCAGGTGATGCGGCATATGGTGCAAGCACATGGAAGAGATGCGAGCACCGAGTATGGCTCTCAGCAGCATATGGTGCATGTGGTGGATGGCACCGGTGCTGCCACTGCCATCCGCATCGACCCACAGTATGATGCCGAGAAGGAGGCAGAGAGAGCGAGGGGCGGCGCTGAGGGGAGCGTGAGGTGGATGGCGCTGCCACGTGTGCAGGGTGCCACGTGCACGGGCAGGTGAATGCCATGCTGCTGCAGGGGACTGTGGGAGAGCGGGGAGGGTGTTGGGAGCGAGGGGGGGAGGGAGGGGAAGAGCGAGGTGGGAAGGATTTGCGGAAAGGAGGGGTGAGGGGGAATGGGAGAGGGGAGTGAAGGGAGGGGGAGGAGCAGGAGGAGGAGGCCAGGCATGGGAGTGGGAGCGGACAGGAGGGGAGCCCACAGTGGCGCATCTGCGATGGCGCATGGTCATGTGCCATGGGCGGAAGGTGAGCTCATCTTTTTGCATGGCCTCTTTTCTTTCACGTGTACCATCCAGGCAAGAACCCTGGCCTGCATGGTAGTGGGAGCGGATAGGAGGGGGACAGGGGAGTGAGCTACAGTGACGCATCCGAGATGGCGTACGGTCATGCGCCATGGGCGGACGGTGCGCTCATCGTTTGCCATGGTCGTGTGCCATGGGAGTGGCAGCGGATGGGAGTTGAGGTGAGCCAACAGAGGGGCATGTGAGGTGCCGTAGGTACGGTCATGTTGAGAATTCTACCAGACTCCTGGAAATGACTCCACTGCGGACGGCCATGGCCATGGGAGGCAGGGATGGGAGTTGAGTTGAGCCAACAGCGGGGCATGTGAGGTGGCGGACGGTGAAGTTTGGGAATTCTCAGAAATGACTCCACTGCGGGCGGACGGACGGTCATGTGCCATGGAGCGCAAGGTGAGCCGCGCTGCACTCAAAACGGAGACTTCCTTGCAGGTGATTTTCGAGTCGCCTAGAAAAAGATTTTCTTTTAACTCTTGTATTGCGTTCGCCCTGGTTGTGGTTGGCATTCGACCTCCAGTGAACACTTATGAGTCGACTCAAACGCAGACGCGTCCTCACTTTCTTGCACTGCAAGTGTGCCACTTTGGAGTCATTTTTTAGCGTTCAATCATCTTCACTTCTAAAGAATGACTCCGATCAAACTCCTGCGAACACGCACACATCTTCACTTACTTGCACTGCAAGTGTGCCACTTTCCATCAGCCTTCCCTTGCTTCACACACCCAGCGAGTTACCCGTGTTGGATGCGGCGCATCCGCCCTGGCATCTGCTCCTGTGAACACGCCTACACCGCCCGCCGCTCCTACCTCCCCTCTCTTTCCCCTAATTCACATGCGTACCACCATCAAGTTTCGAGGCGCCTCAAACTAGATTCCCCTCATTCACATGCGTACCACCACCATCACTCCGACGCCCATGCACTCCCAGGCGAGTACCCCTGTCTCATTACTCCCAGGCGAGCACCCCTGCTCATTACTCCCAGGCGAGCACCCCTGTCTCATTACTCCCAGGCGAGCACCCCTGTCTCATTACTCCCAGGCGAGCACCCCTGTCTCATTACTCCCAGGCGAGTACCCCTGTCTCATTACTCCCAGGCGAGCACCCCTGTCTCATTACTCCCAGGCGAGCACCCCTGTCTCATGCGGCGCATCCGCCCCGGCATCTGCCCCTGTGAACACGCCTACACCGCCCGCCGCTCCTCCCTCCCCTCCTCCTTCTTCCGCGGAGGCCCCTACTTCGCCTGTTCCCCCGACCCTCCGCCTCCTCCTCCCCTCCCCGTCCTTGCTATAAGCCCAAGGAGGTGGGATGGTGGAGGGGAGGGAGTGCGGGAGGGAGTGGGGGAGGGAGGGGGCGAGGAGGGGGGAGGGAGAGAGGTGGTGGTGGTGCAGCCTCGGCGGTTGGAGGAGGTGTTGGTTGAGGTGGCGGATGAGAAGAAGGCGGTGGTGCTCGTGGCTGCCACTCACAACTACGCTTCCATGCTGCTCAGCTTCGCATGCATGTGGGTGCGTCATGGTGTGGTGTGGTTTGGTGTGGTGTGGTGTGGTGTGTCATGCTGCTGGCATGCTGCTCAGCTATTTCTGAGGCGCCTCAAGAACGCCTCAAGAACGCCTCAAGAACGCCTCAAGAACGCCTCAAGAACGCCTCAAGAACGCCTCAAGAATGGACTCGTCACATGTGCTGTGTGTGTCATGCTTCGCTGCTGCTCAGCTTCGCTTGCATGTGCTGAGCTGAGGTGTGTGGGATGCGTTCGTCTGTGTGCCATGCTTCAAAGGCATGTGCCATTTCCAAGGGTATCTCATGTGCACCCTAGACTCTCCTACTTCCTCTCGCTTCTCCCCTGCCACACACCAGACTCCGTGGCCTCTCACTGACCAACCTCGTAGTAGCAGCTCTCAACCCTGCTATGCACAACACTGCGCTCTTGCACGCCCTTCTAGCCTCTCAAGACGATCCTCCTCTCTTCCACCCTCCCCTCTCTTCCACCCTCCGCTCTCTCCCCTCTCAGGCTCCGTGGCCTCTCCTTACCAACCTCCTGGTAGGGGCGGCTTTCAACCTCTCAGCTCTGCTATGCACCGCTCTGCGCTCTTGCACGCCCTCCCACCCTCTCAAGACGATCCTCCTCTCTCATACCACCCTGCCTCTTGTTTCTTCAACAGGCTCCGCCGCCTCTCGATCACCAACCTCTTGGTAGCAGCTCTCGACCCTGCTATGTACCGCACTGCACTCTTGCACGGTCTGCCAGTGTACTACGACAACAGCACTGCGGCCGCAGCTGGGGTAGACGTATTAGCAGCAGCGGGAGGAGCAGCAGAAGGAGCAGCAGGAGGAGCAGCAGGAGGAGCAGCGGATTGGTGCCCCTTCAACAGCCACTGCTTCCGGCACTACACCAAGCTGAAGAGTAGAGCCGTGCTGCGAGTGCTGCGGCTGGGCTATGCCGTGCTTTGGAGTGACGTGGACGTGGCGTGGTTTGAAAATCCACTGCCAATGCTGTGGCAGTATGGGGAAGGGGTGCTGGCTATACAGGTAAGACCAAGCTTTAAGGTTAAGTACCGAGTCAATGATAGTATCAAACGTTATGCAAAGTGCCGCTTGTATGATGTTTACAAATCCTAAGGCATTTAGGTGCCTGCTATTCAGGTGTGCGGGCGGTGCCTGATAAGTAGCTGCCCACAGAACGGGTGGCGGGGCGTGGGTGTGCCGGCTGGTGTGTGGGTGTGGCTGCTTCCACCTCGTTCTTCATTGATATCACCTCTCTCTTATCACTCTCCTTACTATGTGTGTTTTGAGTCGACTCAAAACACACCTGCTTTGCTTCCACCTCGTTCTTCAATAATCTCATCTCTTTGTTATCAATCTCCTTACTATCACTCCCCACCATCCCCCTCCCTCGCTCTAGAGCAACGAGCGTGGCCTCCAGCACCTCCTCAAAGCGCATGTCACAACTCCCCCCCTCCATAGCAACACGCCCAACCTCTCCCTCCCAGCCAACAGCATCCGGCGGATCAGCAGTGGCTCCTACCTCGCTCGCCTCTTTTGTTAATCGCAATCGATTCCCCTCTCCCTCGGGCCATTTGTCCCACTCCCTCGGCCCCACCATAGCAACTATCCCGACTCCTCCCAGCCAGCCAACAGCATCCTTCGTATCAACAGCGGCTTCTACCTCGCTCGCCCCTAATATCACATTCCTTACAATCACCCCTGTTACTCCTTGCACCTTATGTCACACCTCCCCCCTCCAGAGCAACGAGCCCGACCCCTCCCAGCCGGCCAACAGCATCCGGCGGATCAACAGCGGCTTCTACCTCGCTCGCCCCGACCCCCTCACTGTTGCTGCTTTCACCGCCGTTGTGAAGCATGCGGCTCACTCGAGGCTGTCGGAGCAGCCGTCCTTCTATGACGTGTTGTGTGGGGAGCACGGGGAGAGGCGGGTGAGTGCCATCGTGCGAGGCCCTTCTGGTTTGTGTGGCTCATCCCAACGCCCTCACCAGCTCTGCCTTGCTGCAATACTGAAACATGCCACCCACCCTTTTCACACCGTTCTGCTCTGCCTTCACCGTATCA